CAAACAGCTGTTGATTAGTATGGAGACGGCTCTTTTCTGACGTTGCAGCTATGTTTTGTACGTTCTAGTTCCTCCGGGGCTGTACCACGTGCTTCCCACGTGTGTGCATCATTGTTGCACACTTTGGGAGGTCACGGCTTCCCAAGCAAGTACGTTGAGCGATCCTCTCAGTATAATCCCGACGTCGCATCTGGACGCCCCCGTGTAGCTTTCAATAGTTATTTGAAGGATTCCCAACAGAAGTGTGGCTTCTACTTTGTATTTGGCGTTTGCGGGAACCCAGCGGTTGTGACTTTAAACACCGGTAGAGTCATTGAATATTTGTCAAGTGCTTCTCTCTCACGGCCTGCAAGGCTAAAGAACTGTTGTACTGTTCTTAAACCTTCTATAGTGTGAAGGGTATTCTTCAGGAGGTTCCTTCAAGGGCTGTCTGGACTAGCCCACGTATCCCCCTTTCGCTCGCTACCAGGAACTCTGTTTGCAGAGATGCGCGTCTAAAATGGTTTGAACGTGCAACAGCAATGCAGTCTACGTGAAAGTCTTTGATATTCAAAGGAGGTGCGTACCCCACTGTAGTATATGTAAAACACCAGAACACTTAGGTTGAAAGCAGGCGTAAATGTATTGCTATGTATTGCTACATGGCGGCATTGGCTACTCTCGAGTCTCAATGCTACGTACGATATGCACTCACTCCAAAGCACCTCTTGCGGCTGAACAGGGTGCTCCGCCTTTTGAGATGCACTAGTTGCCGAGTTTTTCCTCACTGAACATTTGTTCATTCTGTTTAATTCCCGTCATCTCGCATGCATTTCACAGCGTGAGCGGCAGCAGAAAAGGCATTCGGGGTGGGACTCACGTGAGCAGCGTGTGCGTTTCATGAGCCTTATTATGCGGTTTTGGATTACAACTCCTTTGTTGGGGTACAGATGAAAACGCGTCGGAGCCTGAATGGAATTGTAGACGCCTTGCAACCGATACGTACACAGTCAAATTTTCTCCAGAGCTCACTGGCTAGTGATTGCTCAGCGGACACTCGTTACCATTAGGTGTCACCCGCTTTAATGCAGTAGAAGTGGACCACTATCGGCTACTCCTACTTCAGTCGTCACTCCTGTGAAATGACTCACAAGAATGAGCCGTCCCTTACTGTTTACATCATCACCGTCATCATCCAGTAGCTTGTGCCTTTGTAAGGTTGCTGCGTATATGTCATGGCGTTTGTTTAGCAGCAGCCAGGCAGTGGAATATGCGCTATTGAGCCAGGAAAATATCCTGTGGATTTTTGGGTGCAGGAAGTGCGCAACGTGTTCTATACGGGACACTCAGAAAGTGTTTATGTATAGCTCCAGCACAACACTGCAAATACTCGCCGTCGCGCTCTTGGTTACCCTAGATGATTGGTTATTGAGGGACGTATAGGTGGCGTTTCCAACTACCAGGCTTGCCTAGAGGTAGTCGCGTCCCACGTGTCCGTTACATGTATTTGTGGCAGATCTACGACGGCTTGCTCTAGCACTCTCAGCTGTGCTGCGAATGTTGATTAGTGCAAAATATGGGCGGATGCCGCTGGCACGAACGGTGGCAACCACACAGGTAAACGATCCGTTATTTTATCGTATGCAACAGTGAGGTGGACTCAGGCTTTTATGTTTACAGGCAGTGGGTCGTGTGCACTGCCTGCTAATCTGGGCAACCCAAAGCTGAATATGTGCTTCATTGTAAAAGGCTATTCCAAGTTAGCTGATAGCTGAGTGCTGAAGGGAAGCTCTCGCTTTGACGGGTTCTTTGTGGCTAGTGTCGTTTGCACTCATTGCCTGTGATTTGTTCGCACTCTCCTCATGGTTGCTTCTGCATATGGCATATGATATGAGGCATTCAAAACGAGGCTTCTTGGATACGCTGTTGTAGTTTTAGGCATCAGCTTGGATAAGCTGTTGTAGTTTAGACATCAACGATTTTGCAGTTGCTTCCATAGTCACTCATTCAAAAAGCAGCCAACTGTGTGCGCACCAATAATGCTTGGTACTGAGGCCTACTACGGAGGTGCGTTCTGCAGGACTCTTGAAGTGTAGAATCAAATATATTTTCTATTTTCCACAGCTGTGCATTGTAGGCCTTTGCCAATACCAGCATCTATCTCATTTGGGGATGTGGTCGACGGTTGCTAATCCTTGATATTTTGCCTTTTGCTCTGATGCAGAATTCGTGGAAGGGGGCACGTCATCGTCAATTGCCACAACCATTCTCTGAACCTTGTCTTGCTCATTTTTGAAGTGCGGAAAATGTGTTTCAACATTCAGCCCTCGTTATCTGGAAATGCTTTTGAACATGAACACTCTCTTGTTATTTGTTCTGGCACCGAAACATACGGAAAGCAACGTCCTCTGCGCATGACTAATATTGTGATCTCAAGGCATCTCGCACACAGCGTTCCTATTTTTCCAAAGGCGTGTAGCGCTATCCTTCAACAATATTCCTAATGAGCAGAAAGTGCGTACAATTGATGAATGATGCGCAAGATTGTCCCCGACGTAAATCTTTGCTGCACCGTTAAGGGCTGCTTTACACGGTTTGCAGACTACGTGTAAAGGGCAAAATCCGCCTGCAGTTGCTCAGACGTTTTGTGACTACCGCACTCCTGACTGCTGCCACCTGGACCCATTTGCGTAGGTCAAGTAAGCCATGCGATTCCCCATCGAAGTGTGCACGTTTTGCGAACCGTCACAACGTTGGAGCCTCACTGAAACGGCATGTGTCGCTAGAGCCCTCTCGTGCTGTATAGGCCCTCCACGGTTGTTTCGACCGTTCACGCACAACGGCTGCTGTCTGGATTGATGCGAAGCTGTATTTGGAATGCTTTGAGATTCAGGTGTTGGTGCTAAAACAGGCTCCGGAGGGGTGTGGACAAGCCACCCCAAATTAGACACTAATCGCACGACAAGATAACCCGCAATGAGAATGCGGACCCACATACTAAACACGCTGATGTAATGCATGGCGCGAAGTGTTGCTGAGCATACAGACGGTGAGCTGTGCACCTTTCCCCACACACCCGAACAGCTCTACCGAAATGTGAGCGACTGGCGAACCGTCACAACGTTGGAGCGTCACCAAACCGACATGCATCGCTAGAGCCCTCTCGTGCTGAGTAGGCCCTCCACGGTAGTGTCGACCGTTCACGCACAACGGCTGCTGTCTGGATTGATGAGAAGCTGTATTTGGAATGCTTTGAGATCCAGGTGTTGGTGCTAAAAACGGCTCCGGAGGGCTGTGGACAAGCCACCCCAAATTAGACACTAATCGCATGACAACATAACCCGCAATGAGAATGCGGACTCACATACTAAATACGCTGCTGTAATGCAAGGCGCGAAGTGTTGCTGAGCATACAGGCGGTGAGCTGTGTCCCTTTCTTCACACACCCGAACGACCCAGCGTAATGTCAGTCGCATGGGTTCGAATGCTGCTTATGGTTCACTGACTCTTTGGATGTGGATCGTCCCCATTGTTTTGGACTAGATGATTAACGTGATACGGCATGTGCGTGGAATTACTTCTCCTCGATGCTTCGGCGCCCTTCTGTCCTTCTGCGTTTGCACTGTTGTGTATGTGACGGAGCGTCAGTGAAATCCCTGGCAGGCGTCCACAGTTTTCCCTTGCAAATAGGTATGGAGAAGATCGGAGGCTGCACCGGTCCTGTTATTAACGCAAGGATCCTACTTGTCTAGGCCTTCCATGGCTTTACTCTGCTTCTCATTCAGAGTGCTTTTCATCGTCTAATGTGTGAAGCAGTGGTCTACACACTCATGTCCCGGCTGGCGTAAACAGAAAGTGCGTGGCACGCACCATGAATTCCTGAATAAGTTTGAGGTGCAACCTTTCGTAGGTGGTTGCCTCACCTCTTCAATCCTGAGATGTCGCCATGTCTTGGAACTAAGCTCTGGCGGGGAAACCAAATATCGGACCTGCGAACAGACCAAAAGCTGTGACTGGTTTCCGTGTACCTGTCGGTGCTTAGTCTAGTGCTTGCGAAGCAATCATCGTAGCCTGCGATCCAAAGACTAGTCATTGAGGTGTTTCTGGTGTCCCTGAATGGGCCTAAAGCAATCCGCAGGTGTCTCCGGCTCGTAAATGTTCAAGGGGGACATGAAATAATGTTCAAGGCATTCTGTCAATTTTGATAGTGTTTTCAGGAGTGGCAGAGACATTCTGATAGCTCCATAACTCACAGTTAGTGTGTTCATGGGCCAAAGGGCACACTGTAATGGGGAGTAGCAAACGCCCGTGCACTGAGTAGTACATGCAAAATTGAATGTAGCAAGTAGGCTTCAGTGCTTCAGGCTCACCGCAAGACGGTATCAGCGCATTAGCCTTGCCTTTTTCTATGCTTATATTTGTGGTGATCTGTTCCCAAAAGCTTTACACCGTATAACTCCGCTAGCCCACGTTCGTGTTAGGCAAGCCCACTCCAGGCAATTGCCTACCAGCGGTTGTTGCCTGTGCAGCAAGTGGGCTCATCGCTCGTGTTCATGCGCCCAAAGTTCCCGAGGCATATGTTTCGTGTATGGTACATTCGTGTGTGGACACTACTTATTGAGCATCGATTCCTCACAAGCGTAGTGCTGGGAAAAGGTGTCTACCTCGATACAGCGTTTGCAAGTGAGCCACATATCTTCGTGTCTCCGGTGTTCAGCGTTCGTACTGTGCCTTTGCAATTTAGTGTGTGTTGCGAACCCTCTGTGGAATTTTCCCTGATCCGCTTCTACAGCTTTTTCCGGGGGATAGATATGCAACATCTTGCCGGCTGAAGCTCCTGCCTGCTTAACGACGTTATGCTCCCCTTTCTGCTTCTCGTCTGTAGTGCTATCTATAGTCTAATATGGGCAGCAGCAGTGTAGGCACTCAGGCTAGTTTTTGCTTGAGCAGGAAGTGGGTGACATGAATGTTGGGGTGCACCAAACGGACCACAACGTACAGTTCCATTGCATTTCTTCAAGATGGTCTTGAGATGCCCTAAATTCGGCAGTGCCGAAAGGGCCCCAGGAGTAGGAGAAGCTGCGACTGCTCAGAAATATGTGTATGTGCAGGAGGTAAGCTGCATGAGCCTTTGCCAGAAATACAAGTGGCGCAGCTTATGCCCAGTTCTCCACCGTTGTTTACTGCCTGTATAGAATTCGCTCACTTGCCGCACTTGCGCACTTGCCCACTTGCTAAAGCGTTCGTGATAGCACAGTTTCTGGTTTCTCATTACTATGATTCGCTCAACTCCAAGCACATCACATTAAGCCACCATCGAACGCAGGCACTCAGCGTCGGGAAAGAGCTACACCCTTCCAGGCGAGTTTAGCAGGCAGGCATTTTCCTTTTAATCCACAACTCCTTATCAAACGTGGCACTGATTTGTGCATGCACACTTAAGAAAAAGTGTACGTGTTTGCGGTACTTACTCATTCAATAGAATTCTATAAACTACGCCCAGGAGGTGCGTTACATTCACAATGAGCAGTATGGAGGCAATAGGACTTCGTAGTCCATGCGCTGTGCGTATTGCTGAACGTTTTTCCTCAGTTACCGAACAAAATGGTGCTGATTATGCGTCAAGCGTCTAATTATTCAGGATGCTTCGCTCAACTGGAAATGCTCCTGCGTGCATACGCGAGGTGCATATCCTGTGCTACTTTCTTTAACCTCTGGGTAAACGTACTCCCCCATTGCGGAAAGAAGTACAGACAGTTCAAGCAATCGGCGGTAGAAGCCCATGCAGAAAGCCTGGATTGGGAGCTCTTCATTAGATTAGAACCCATGTCGGCTTTCTACATAGGCTTCTCTGCCCTACTGCTTCAAAAATGTGTACTTTTGTCCGCAGTTGGGGAGTGTGGTTACCCAGAAGTTAAAGAAATCAACACGGGAAATGCTTCTCGCGTAAACGCTCAGGAGCATTTCCTGCTGAGTAAAGCACCATGAATGATTGGAGTTCCTACTGCCGAGAATTGCTGTGGTCGCACCTGGGCCACAAACATGATAAAGTGCCTTGCTTAGGTAGTTCAGTACAGTTGGTTTGAGCGGTCTACGAACTCTTGATGGGCACCACACTGCACAGCGTGTGCGTTGCACCGCCGTCCTGGGTCAGGAATAAATACGAACACCTTTGTTTAGGCGGAGCTCAAGGTCCATGGCTCCATGGGCACGGCTTGATTAAAACGTAGTTGGGTGCATGTCCTGTGTGATGTTACTGCACTCTCTGCATGCACACATTGTGGGGAATCCTTCTTTGAATCTTGAATAGTTACCGTTTACCATCTGTAGTGGGGAGTGGCGTATTTTTGTATATTCTTCCCTTGGGAAACTTCCCAATACCTTCTTCGCCAGCACGTGCATCATGTTCCCGATCTTGGCAGAACCCACAGAGTCCGCCTGGTTGTAGCTTTACATATTTTACGCTTGTTGCAAATGATCCCCTGATCCGAATTGTAAGCTGGTCCATAGTTGTGTGCTTTAGTGCTGTAAAGTCTTCTATGGTTTTTGCACTACGCAGCAAGTGTGTTACACCAGCCTAGTGAAGCACGCGGCCGACGAGGGCGTGGCACTTCAATCAGGGCTAGCACCTACTCGTAGATGACCTTCTGCAAAGCGCAGGAACCGTTGATTACCCGGCCAATCTGCAGCTAATGTATACTGCCTCTAGCAGTCACTGCTCCGGTAATTGCCCGCCAGCTGTAGCCAACCACCCTCTAATCGCTGTCCTTTGGCACAACAGGTGCTACGCTGGTATAGGCACGTGCGCTATACCACTCCGCAGTGCGAGCCAGCACTCTCGCAGATTTCCAGGTGTTGTCTGTGCTTGCGCTAATGGAGGAAATCTACTATTCTAGTCTTAATTCTGCAGTGATCAGGTTTGAGTTTTGCAGTGATGGGCATTAGCGGCGCACTGTACACCCTTAAATTCACAGCGTGTACGTTTTGTCTGTTGCACGGGAAACTCAAAACCCTTCGATCCTCGTTGTTAGTGAACAGTGTCTGTAGTCTACTCGGCACGGTGTACTAGGAAAGCACGAAAATGAGCTGGTGGTGATGCTCCACCTTTGCAAGCCGAAGCTGGTTGACTACTTTATGGCGACTGCTTGCAACTTAATTCCTCATCAAAAGCTCTGCAAATCCCGTAATCCGGTACTAGCAAAAGGCACTCATTCACAATGCTAGAAAATGTTAAATGCCGCACCGGTGAAAATTTGGATGCATGCGACCTGGCTAGAAAGAACGCCTCCTGTTTCAGACGTCCACCGGACAGCATTATCTACTGTGACAGTCGTATCAATTGCTGTGAACGAGCCCTTTCTGTCATTTCTGGAAGCACTGTCCTAACTGTAGTATAGGGTTCCTAGTTGCAGGAGCCGTTGGTCCAACTTATCGTTGGGGTCTGAAGTTGTATTCTCACTGAGCGTTTGGCTACTTGCATGCGTTTTGGTGCTTAACGGGTTTCTAACATGTAGGGATTTGTAAATTTTGAGAGGAAGTTCGGTGCTGTGACAGCTCCCTGACTGCACAGTCAGTCCGTTCATCTCACGTTGCCAAGTGCTTGCCGATGAGAACAATTGGGGTACCACAATCTGCTAACGCGGAAAAGGGACCATTTACGATTCCTACGTTTCCTTTGTAAGCGGGCGTTTGAAGACCAGAAGCCGCCTCAGTGGACGCATGCAGACAAGCGCCTCGCGATGCTTGCCAGTACGGCACAGAATACTTAAGATCTCTTGCTTCTCAGAGTGCTGCCAAATACCTGCAGCAATAATATAGTCCCCATGGACGGAACGGAAATGCTCAGCGAGTGCGTTCTCTCTGATTGGTAAAGCGTTATATCACGCATTTTTTGCATCATCTTTTGTGTTCGGCAGGTGTGTCAAGGAATGCTTAATAGATCTGATATGCCTCGGGTGAACAGCAAGTGGGTTGTGTGTGTGGATTGTTAGCTGAATTAAGCTGATTACAAAGGGGTGAAGGGCAGTACTTCGCATTTCCCTGACTGTTTGGCTTGCCGTTGGCCAACGCAAGTTGTGTGATGCAACGCAGCAGTGCACGGAACGATCCACAAAGACAAGCAGACCCTAGTCTAGTTAGTGCATACACAACAACATTATAAGGTATACTTGCTCTTGGAAATCCATGTTGACAAACACCGCCTTTAATGATTGGGAACTTTACACCTAGGCAGATAGGGCACTCTAGTACTTAATGGGATATCTGTGTTTTCTTACTGGGAAGTATGTCCTATAGACTCCAGTGCTGACGCAACTCGTTGGAGTCGCATTTACCCTTCTCTCTGGGCAGTATGCGCCTGCGCTTGTGCATACGCAAATTTTGGCGGGAGTGCGGACACCAAAATAGACCTCACGCTTGCATTTGGATGGCGTTGCTTTACCTAATGTCAGGAAAATGCCGATAAGCGTTTCGGGCCGACCAAATGTGTGCAGCAGTGGGTCGCTCAACACGGAATTCCTTTCGAATCGCAGCGAGTGCGTAGCGTACGGTCGATGCACAATATGCTGTGCTCCTTGGTTCGTTGGGGGCGTGGTGGTTGGTGGATGTCTTGCCGCGTATTCTCTGCTCTTTTGCGGGTGGCATAGCATCGCCACTGCACCTGTGTTTCTTGGACCTCATCGTCTGATCCATAGGCGCTAATCTAGTGCGTGCCATTTAGCCTCTGGCATGCTCGATTTAGGACGAAACTCCTGTGCAGTGTTAATGCACACGGGCGTAGTAGAAAACAGCGTTTGTGTTGGTGCCACAAGATGGATTGGGAAGGCATGTCAATCAACTGCAAGTGACAAAGCACATTCCTTGCATCATCTTTTGTGTTTGGCAAGTGTGTCAAGGAATGCTTAATAGATCTGATTTGCTTTCATTCAACAGCGCGTAGGTTTTTTCTGCGTTGTTAGCTGAACAAACCTGATTAAAAAGTGGTCAACCGCAGTACTTTGCATTTCCGTGAGTTGCCTGGGTTGCCGGTTTGACGCGTATGCCTTATTCTGGTTATCCAGGCTCTTTTCTGGGGGCAGGGCGCATGACGCTTAGCGGGTGGCCGACCACCTGGTGGCCACTGTCTTGCCATC